AGTATTGATGCACATTTAAGACCCAGATGAGAGTGCTGTTTTTTTAAACGACAGGGGATTAATATTTTGTGTGGTAATTTTGTACATGCCATCGGCAATTGAAGGGGGCAAATCTATTGGTACTGCTGCATAAAAAAGTTGGTTCACCTTGATGTGAGGAATTTACCTTGGACACGTGGACCAACGACTTTGTTTTTGAGTGCGCACGTTCCGTGTGGGAGTTGTTAGAAGTCGAGGCGCGTTGGCAGAGTAGTCAGTGCGGCTTGCAAGACATATGGTTTTCACCCAGAGTCACCTTTATTTTTTTTGCGATGAACGATGCGAGCGACGTTGGTGTGTGGAGTCATCTAGTGTTATGCACATTAGTGTTGGACTACCTGAGACTATTTTAGGACTAATTGAAACTGACTTGGGACTTGAAACATTGCGGCGTCGACGATTTTTGATCGGTGACACATAACGACTGACACGGACTTTTTTTTTTTAGTGCAGTTTGAGACTGCAGTGGACTTGGGATAGTCCAATAACTTTGCGGCTCCGTTGGGTTTGTGTCGACACAATCTGGACCACGAGGGACTCTTTTTGGAATCGCCCTCCTCGAGGGTTATCCCATTCAAGTTCTGTTATTGAATTTAATTGCCTTGCAATTTGTCTAGGTATGTTGGGGAAAGTGTGGGCAACCTTTTTATTGTAAGGTAGTGGTTGATCGAATTGCGAGTCAGACATTGACTTCGGCGACATTGTTTTCAATTGGGATATTACTCAGCTTCCTTGAGTGAACCGATTCAAACTTCACTCAAGGTCGGTTGAACGACTCAGTCTCCCATTGACAACTATGTGAACCCACACTTGCTTGACCCTGTTCATTGAATGTTCGTTGAAAAATCAAAGGAAATGTGTGTTCGTCTGTCAATAAGAAAGTCTGACTTGGGTATGGGGCTGTATTGGTTTCCTTTGAACTTGTTTGTTTTGCTTTGAGTGCAAGTAGGTAAAAAGGAATACTAGAAAATGATATTGATTATCTCCATTGGAGAAAAGGAAAAGGATTATCCTATTTCTACTTTTCGTTGACCTGCATGTTAAAAACACTTGTATTTTAAAGTGAATAACTTCAATGGGTACTGTAGAAAAAAACTCGTCAATATAATGAAAATGAAGATAATCAGACTAAGTTGTTTTCCGAGGTGTACCTGTTCTATCCCGAATAATCTTATCTTCCTATACCTGTCAAAATGGTTCATTCTCTATCTCTTCTGACTCCTTTCGCCTGAGTTACCTTGAACTTAAGAAAAATGAAAATAACTTAAACCTACAAGCATAGAACTCGTTCTCTATCGCTAGAAAGTATCTGGGGTAGGGGTTCGTTGCTTTAGGAACCGACTCTGTTATCGACCTAGAGTTGATCATTCTACGGGGGGGTACACTACCGATTCGGTGAGGACGACTTGACTTCTGAGATCCGAGCTTTGTGCTCGGGCGAGGAGGAGGAGTATCAGAGGCCAGTTCCTAGAGGGAGAAACATGCAACACTTCAAGTAATACACTTGATCAAGAATTGTAAAAAAAACAGTGTGTCATCCAAGGAAATTGAGAATGGATGAAGACAGATGTATGTGTGCCTAATCTTAGGTCGGCGGTAGGCTGAATGAATGACTTTGGCGGCGTGTCTCATCAAATCAAAACTGAGGCAGTTCGACTATTTTGTCGGCTGCATGGAGGATATGGTCGAACCCAACTTTGTGTTGGCAGTTCAGGATTGTTTTTTTTCTCGAGTTCGACCCGAGGTGGTCGGGTTTTATTTTGATATAATTATGTTATTGGATGTATCAAATAATGATTTAAAAATTTCCAGCTATCATTCCAGATTGGATATACATTCCTATCGACTACGGTTGATTCTTTTTCATGTAATTATTTGTGGTTTTTTATATATGTCTTGTGACTAGCGTCTTAAGGGACTATGATTGAGTTGGGGGTTTCACGCTTGGTTGAGACGGTCCTAGTGAACCGATGTGCGCTTCGTACTTAGGAGATCAGCGTTCTAAGGAACGAATGACGTTCGGGTCCACTTGTCGTTTAACCAAGTGTTTCCTATACTGCAGCGAAACGAGCAAACGCTCTCGGTTGATCTACCTCTGCGATTGTATCTAAAAGCATTTGCACGTGGGTCAGTAGCTCGGTAGGGATATGCCCCAGGGCCTAAGGGTGGTGACATTCCCTTAGGGAAGGTAAGTGGTGCCTCGTGAGAACCTATCATGTCGTAGGGAACCACGAGAAGTACGGCTGACGCAGCTAGCTAGAGCGGCGAAGAGACGACGTGACCGTGACCGTTTCAACGGTTTGAAGGACTATCCGCGCATCGTCTCTAAGTTATCTCTTGCGTTTCAATTTTACTCATTCGTGATGTGGCCGGGGGGGCTTTCGCCTTTATGAAAAGGCGGGAGCCAATGCACTTGACAACGAGTATCTGAGGAAGCGAAGAGGAGAAACAGGGGAGATGCACAAAACTTGAAAGGTAGAAACGTGCGGCATGAAGAAGAAGAAGAAGAGGAGGAGGAGGAGGAAATATGGGAAAAAGAGACTTACCTAACCTTACGTTTGATAAAGGCAACGTTCCAATCGTGAGTTTGGGGCCTTTTACTCTAGTTACGAAGGAACTCTCTGCACATGCTTTCAATAATCTATTGTTTGCATGGAAAATGTGAGTCATATCCCGGGTTGTTAAAAACCCATCTTTTTAGTGCAGTTCAGACCTCAAGTCGACTCTCTCGGAGGACTTTCATGTTAGCTCGCTCATTCCTGACAGGTCGCAACTTTTGGGGTTTTTCGATGTCGTGATACTGGCTGGTGGATCGTTGCACTCATCCTCTACGATGATTAGCGCCGAATGGCTGGCGGGCGGTACGGATGAGGGTCAATCGTAGGTGAGGAAGGCGGCGGTGTCCATTGCCAACTCTCAACTCCAGCACACTCAGTTGGTAGGAAAACAAATATAGCATGGTCTTCGTGTCCAAACAATGGAACGATTTGTTTGTCTTGGGTAGTGTCAGGACTTGGTATGAAGGCTCTGTGCTCTTTATCCTCTGGGTGGCAGCACAGAGTGTCGGCGTAGATGGCGTTGGCCCTGCTCCGACTACCTACCACCAGTGAAGGTGGAGACTTGTAGAACGTGTGACGCTTCCGTGGCCTGCATCGTGAAGTTGGGTCCGTCATCCGCCCGACTTGTTGGTGATCTGGAGGAAAAAAGGTCTGGCAAATTTCACACATTGCGGGGTGGAAAGTCCCCAGGGCTCCTCGTGTGACTGGGGGTTCATTAGTCCCTCGATTGCTGTTCTTCTTGTTCTTAACTTGGCCAAAGCCGATGAAAAGAGTGTCCATTGTGGCTTCGGTGGGGTGCCTTGCCAGCTTACCTCAGATTCTTGCTCTTTGCCATCTGTATTTGCGAAGTCCAAACGTTTTTCTTTCAATTTTGACATTTGGGTAGGCTGGTTGGTGGGGTTAGCATAGTCTTCGAGCCGGCAAATTTGGTTTAGCCGGTTCATTTCTTGTGCATTTCTATGTGTTGCTAACATTTTTGAGTACTCTTTGCATTTGTTTTGTCAAGAAAGGAGTCTGGTTTGTTAATCCACCAGTACTTGGCCCAGCTATCGATGCCGAGCCTGGAATGCCCCTGCGCACCAATTTTCGCCGAAGCACCAGGGTACCGTTTTGAATTTTTTTTGGCCGGCGCTTCCAACCATTCTGGTCCGGTACCCCGAAGCCCTAAAGGCGCAGCGCGATAACGGGAAAGCGTCGCGGCCGATAGCTGGGCCAAGTACTGGTGGTTTAAACCAGGCTATTTCTGATTCTATTTCTGTCTTTTTGCTTTGCCAGTATGACCACATGCCAATGATCAATGCTTGTATTTGGCCTTATTTTACTAGGGATGTATTCGACTCGTTGAATTGACGGCCTTGATCCGGCTTCTTCCGAAAAGTCACCACGCGCACAAAAGACAAAAATTATGGCGGTGTATCTATCTGTTTCCTAGGTGTAGATTCGTTCTCATTTTGCACATGTGGTGAGTAGTGGCTGATTTTGCACCTTCGGCGAGTGGTGGAGCCAGCCCCTACATTCCCTGGCGCACCCCACCCCTCTCTATCCTACATCATTTTTTAGGGCCACCATTCTGGGCTGAAGCGCCGAAGCCCCACCTACCCGAATTCTCAATTTCTGATTGTAGATGTCAAAGGTCAACAACCAGAACTGAGAGGGCCGTGGTCCCAGACAGCGCTCATGCGCACAAACGCGGGGCCCTTTCAGCCCTGGTTGAGGGATTGTCACTCGGGCCTTGTCATGAGACTTGGGTCTTTTGTACCAACGGGCCTACGGTAGCTGAGTTAGCCACCCATGAGGTGTCAAAATTCAGACCCCTTTTTTATTTTTTTTATTTTTTTTTTAATTCAGATCGGAGTTACCACTAGTACCTTTGCCGCTGGGAAAATAGCGGGCCTCGGGTAGGCGTCCGACCTTTTCAGAGGCCGAAACGAAATGACGGCCGCCGATCAGATTTATCAATGGCAGTCGTCGTCGGGGACCTCCGAATATTCAGGAGTTTGGGAAAACTGCCAGTTTGCCCTATTTTCCCACGCGGGAAAGGTACTAGTGGAACTCAGATTTGAACTAGACGAATGATTAGGTGAATTAAACGGTACCAACGGGCCCACGACAAATGAACTAGACGAATGAAACGGTACCTGGGGCCGGTCACCTCCACGCTGATATCTGAAGGCCCATCTCTCGATTTATGCGTGTCATCATTGCGCAGGGGCCATGCTTTTTTTTTATTTTTCGTCGGTCACCTCCACGCTGATATCTGCTGAAGGCCACGTGATATCTGAAGACCGCTGACCCTTTGTGGAAAAGCACGGAAAAATGAAAAAAAAAAAAAAAGCACGGGAAAAAAAAACGTGCCCTGCCCCTGGTTCGGATTCGGGTGCGCGGCCGCTTAGGGTCTTGTTACACTATTCCCCATCCGCCAACGTTTTGAATGCATCCGAGAGCTTAAACCTGTCCAGATGCCTGCGGGCCTAGCTCAGTTGGTAAGTTACATTCAGGAGGTCGTGGGCTCAAACCCCACTGGCCTAACGTACGTGCCTGGGCAAGCCTGGTGTTCTACCAGCTAGAGATAACCCGTTGGCCCCACAAGCCAGCCTTGGGAGGACCTTGGCTTATGTTGTTGGTTGCTACGCAGCTACAATTGGGGTTGGGGGTAGGGGTAGGGGGAGGTGCAGTGACCGGCCGTCACGGCCGATTTCCCCCATCGGCAATGCCCGCCCACCCGTCAATCACCGTGATGAGGGACCGGTACAGCCTTGCTCTTGCACTTGCACCACCGCTGTGGTGCCAACCTACCCCGTTGGCGAGGGAGAGATCCGGGTTGGTCAGTGTTCCCCCGTACTATACATAGTGACATAGATGAGAGAAGAATATAGTTTACGTAAAAAAATAAAAAATAAAAAGAATTGTTCACATGAATCACATCCATGCAATGTCCAGATGCATCCAAAATGTTGGCAGATGGCGACCAGATGAAGGCGGACAGGACGGAGAACCTGCGGGGTCGGGTCATCCGCATACAGACGCAATGTTAGGACATAGCATGGACTTAGTACGCCTAGACTTAGTAGGACATAGCATGGACTTAGTACTTTTTTTTTTTTTTGTTTGAGACTTAGTACGCGGAGACTTACCGGTAGTAAGACATAGCGTGGACTTAGTACTGCCTAGACATAGTAGGACATAGCATGGACTTAGTACGCCTAGACTATCGCACCAGATGAACGCGGACCCGACGGAGAACCTGCGGGGTTGGGTCCGCATACAGACGTAAGGCTCGTTAGCCAGCAGACCATGCACGCACGGGGTTGGATGGACTTAGTACGGACATAGTATGGACATAGTATGGAATTGGTACGTACTTAGGATCACAAGCGGCTAGACTAAGCACGTAACGTACTAAGCATCATCTGGCTCACGGGCTGTTACACAGATCGAGCTGTGGATCACTTGCATCCACTCGCCTTGAAGAGGTTATCTACCCGACCGAATCATCGGTTATCGAGATCCTCCCGCTTGGCGGTGCGGCCACACGCCACATATTTTTTTCGTTCTACCCCCCCC